GCATACACCTGTAATCCCAGCTACTTGGGAGGCTGAGGCAGGAGAATCGCTTGAACCCAGGAGGTGGAGGTTGCAGTGAGCCAAGATCACACCATTGCACTCCAGCCTGGGCAACAGTGCGAGACTCTGTCTCAAAAGAAAAAGAAAAAAGAAAAGAAACTCATCCCACTATTACATGTAGTTGTCTTTGTTCATTCTCACTGCTGTGTCATAGTCTGTTGTTTGAATATGCCATAGTTGGATGGGAATTTTTAGCTAGTATGAGTAGTGCTGTCACAAACATCCTTGTGCATGGTCTGTGTCATTTCCTTTGGGTTCCGATCAAGGACTGGACTGGCTGGGTCATAGTGTGTGCAATTTGTCAGCATTGCAGACCCTGCCAAACAGTTTTCCAAAGTCTGCTAATTTCTGCTCTGTCAGAGCAGATGAGAGTTCTGTTGTTCATATGCTTGCCAATGCTTGGTGTTGCCAGATCTTCACATTTAAATGCTAAATTATTCTAAAAGAAACATAAATGGTTACAGTGTTACCATTTATTTTATAATATTTCTATCATTAATATGGCCCCATAGAATTGTCAGCTCCTTTGGAGCTATCATCCATTTAGCAAACACTTACTGAGCACCTACTGTGTGCAGGGATCTGTGTTCTGATACTAGAAAGAGAAGAAAGAGAAGGTCTCTATTCTGAAAGAGCTTCGGGAATGCCCTCTCTTCAGGTCTCAGCTCAGATGTCACCTCCCCAGAGGGGCCTCCTTGGGCACCTTTGTCCAGCCATTATCTCATTGTCTGCCTCCACGCCTGGCTGAAGAGCTCGATTTTGTGGATGGACTAGTAATAACCTCAGCAGAAGCATCTGCTGTGAAGTCAGGAACACAGGATTGATTCACCAGGAACATCCCTGAAAATATCCCACTGTTCAATTCAGAAGGAGTTTTCCTGGACGCTTGCTCCCACGGTTCTAGCCGTTGGCAAGGGGGGGTGCCAGATCAGTTCTGGTCAAGGAGCGATTTGTGTTTTGTTTTGTTTTATTTGAGATGGGGTCTCACTCTTTTGCCCAGGCTGGAGTGCAGGGGTGTGATTCTGGCTCACTGCAGCCTTAAGTAGCTGGGATTACGGGCACACATCACCATGCCCAGCTAATTTTTGTATATTTTTTAGAGATGGGGTTTCACTGTGTTGTGCAGGCTGGTCTCCCACTCCACTCCTGGGCTGAAGCAATCTACCTGCCTCAGCCCCTTGAGTAGTTGGGATTACAGGTGTGAGCCACTACGCCCAGCTAATTTTTTATTTTGTAGAGATGGTGTCTTGCTATGTTGCCCAGGCTGCTCTCCAACTCCTGGATTCAAGCAATCCACTCACCTTGGCCTCCCAAAGTGCTGGGATTACAGGCATTAGCCACGGCACCTGACTGCAAGAAATGTTTCCATCAGCACTGGCCTGGCATGTTACATATGTTGTTTCTAGCCCCGATGTTTTATTTCCCCATTTAGTGGAGAGGGAAGCTGAGGCTCAGAGAGGTTAAGTCATTTCCTCAAGATTCCACAGCTGGTGCAAGGATTTGCCTCCCCAACTACATGAACTCAATGTGGAATCCCTCAGCAGGGCTCCTGCTGTGTGGCGTGGGCCGGGAATGTGGGCTCACAGTGCTGGCTGGGCTGGGAGTCAGGGCTCCTGGTGTTAAGCCGAGAGCGTCCCTGCAGACTTTCCCAGGAGACAAGCAGGCTGGGATTCTCTTGTCCTAGAACTGACCAAGCAGAGCCTGACCATACCT